AAATACAAATTTAAAATAGAACAAGACTCTCACTTGTAATTGCACTAAGGTCTAATATAATGACTTTTGTGGAGTCTGTTTTGAGCTAGAATGAGCTATAGTACAACTAGATTTAATCTAATAATATAAAAATACAAATTAAAAATAGCACCAGTCTCTCACTAGTAATTGCACTATGGTCTAATATAATGAATTTGGTATTGACTATAGTACAACTGAGTTTAATCTAATAATATAAAAAAGGCACAAGACTCTCAATTGTAATTGCACTAAGGTCTTATATAAGTTGTTTACAAGAATTAGAGTATAACTAGATTTAAATTGACAGGATAAAATACACAAGTTAAGGTAGCAAGGAATATAATAAAAAAAATGATAAAATAAAAATGGCAATGACTTGGTTATAATATGCTAGTAAGATGGTAGACAGGATAATATAAAAGTTGTAGTTGAAAATACTAGTTTAAAAAAGTATAGAATGAAATGGTCAATAAAAGAAGTTTACAATAAGTTTGATCAATATAGTTTAAAGCAAAATTGGGCAATAATAGGGATTTTAGAATAAAATTGGGCAATTGAGTATTTCTTAAAGTGAGGTAGAATTATTGAGGACAAGTTATGGCTAGTTTATAGTAAAATAAGATGGAACAGTGATGCATTAAGTTGTAAAAAAAGGAGATAGATTCTGTAGATATTAAACAAATTAAGACTATGAGGTAGAATGGTCGTTGAATACAACAATGACAATCAAAAGTAGTTGGGGTATTAGAATTTTAGGGGGGCACAAATTTATGACAATATAACACTAACTGTGGACTGTGGGTATTATCTGCACTTTACTCTGATTCTGTTAGTCCAGCCTCACTTAGGAATGTTTTAAGGTCATGTTCTGTAGAGATAAAGTATCTCTTCCCAGTGGGCTGTTTCCTAACTGCGATTTTTCCATCCCTCAAAAAGCACTGGTGGATTTTTTGGGCATAGCGTAATTTTCTTAGCCGATAAAGAAGGTTTTGTCTTGTTTTGGTAAGGCACCCATTGACGTAAACATCAGTTTTCATAGAAATAGATGTTTTTAGTAGGTTGTTTCTTCGTAGGCTAGTTTGGAATTTTAACAGCACTGTTTTTTTACCTGCTTGGTAGCCCATCAGTTTGCAATCCTTTAGGTTATCACTACGTATGTTAAGGCGAAGGTGGTCCTTGATAAGCTGTAGGGTGGTCTCCATGCAGGTCTCTTGGGTGACTGTGGGTGGGAGATGTTTGCTGTTAACTACAACAGCGTCAGATAGTTGCTGTTGGTTATGACATTGGCAAGTTGTTGGTCCACTCTTGATCTTTCCTCTGTAATGTTGGTAGTAAGTAGGGTGACTTGGTCTTTTAGAGTGTTGATGGTGTCTAGGGACTGGGTGTGGGTGTTGCTTTGTTGTTCCAGTGTGTCTAGTTTATGTTCAAGAGCAGTGATCTTGTTGAGGTAATCTGCATTGCTAGCTTTTAGTTCCTGCATTTCTTGAGTTAGTTTGGTGATCGTTTGGTTCTGAATCGTAAGGAGTTCAGCTATTTCTGGGTCGGTGATCTTCTTGACATCAAATACTGGGAAGGAGTTATCTTGGACTGTGGCGGCGGCCATGTTTGTTGTTGTCTGTCGTGTGTTGTGGTGGTGCCGGTGGGTGATGAGGGTTGTGTCCTGGCTGGCAGTACCACAAGTTTTCCTCGTGTTATTACTGCTCTCACCTTTGATGTTAGGAGTTCTTAGCTGGTTACTGGATCTTCTTTTATTGCTCTGACCCTTGTCCATTGGCTGTGGCTTTGGGTGAATAATAGGCGATGGGTGAATGTTGTGGAGTATCACTTCAGTGGCAGCGGGGTAGGAGGTGGTAGTACGAGTCCTATTAGTTGGTAATTTGTGAACTTTTGGGTGATTTCTGCAGTTGATTTATATCATTCTGGGTATCCACACATGTTAGTGTTATGTGGGTCTTGATTAGGTCATCACTGGGCTGCTGGGAACCTCAGGTAGAAGTAAAAATAGAGGACAAGGTTCCTCTTGCCGCTGTCGCTGGTATCTTGAGTATGAGAGTATAGTTGTACCAACACCCTTGTATGGGTGTGAAGCATGGGTGATGAATGTTGCAATGAGGAGAAGGCTGGAGGTAGTGGAGATGCCGTGTCTGAGGGCAATGTGTGGTGTGACTATAATGCAGAGAATTTGTAGTTCGGAAATTAGGAGGTGTGGGATTACCAAAACTGTTATCCAGAGGGCTGAGGAGGGGTTGTTGAGGTGGTTCGGACATGTAGAGAGAATGGAACAAAACAGAATGACTTCGAGAGTGTATAAATCTGTAGTGGAGGGAAGGCAGGATAGGGGTTGGCCTAGGAAGGGTTGGAGGGAGGGGGTAAAGGAGATTGTGTGTGCGAGGGGCTTGGACTTCCAACAAGCGTGCATGAGCGTATTTGGTGGGATTGAATAGAGACAAATGGTTTTTAATACTTGACATGCTGTTGGAGTGTGAGCTAAGTAACATTTATGAAGGGATTCAGGGAAACCGGCAGGCCGGACTTGAATCCTGGAGATGGGAAGTACAGTGTGTGTGCTCTGAAGGAGGGGTGTTTATGTTGCAGTTTTATAACTGTAGTGTAAAGCACCCCTCTGGCAAGACAGTGATGGAGTGAATGATGATGAAAGTTTTTCTTTTTTGGGCCACCCTGCCTTGGTGGGAATTGGCCAATGTGTTGATAAAAAAACAAATGTTACTGGGATGCGTGTTTCTCGGGACAACTGTATCAGTTTTGAAGATTTATTAGTATATTAGATCTGTTTTCTCTTTCAAGAATGTGAGTTTCACAGATGTTTATTATGTGAATTTTTTTTTTTTGTAATTTTAGCTAGTAGTAGATTTGTGTCGATTTGATTAGACTGGTAAGCTTTGTAGGGCTCAAAATATTTTTTGTTAATTATTATTAATTGATCTTAGCCCATATGATAAAAATTTAAGGTTTTATTCATTTACTGATATATTTTTAAAATTAGTTCCTGTTCTCAGTGAGATTTCAACTGTGATAAAGTTCTTTGCTCTTACTTAATTTCAATTTGCTTGTTTTAAGCAATTCTTGTGTTATATCTCGCCACTTCGTAAAGACGTATTATGTATTTATTTTAGGAATTCCCTTTTAATTTACCAATATAACGTTACTTTTGTTCTCTGCAGTGCATCTTGGAATATTTACAGTCATGTACTGGCCATTTTTTTCTCTTCAGCTGATGTATTATTGTTATTATAATGGAAACGAAGTGCTAACCCCACAAGGGCCATATAGCACTGCAGGGTGGGATACACTAAAGAAGAAATATGCGAAGATAAGAGACCAGAGAGGGTTAGGAGTCTCCAAGAGGCTGAGTCAGTAAGGGCAGTATTAAAGGAAAAATATATTAAATGGTGTAATAAGGCAATTGCTGACAGAAACTCAAAGATCGGGAGTCTGCATCAAAATCTAGACTGCCAGCGAGGAGTAGGTTGGTGACGATGTCGGAAGTAGATTGTGTGTATCCGCTGATGTACAGGACAGTCTATTAAGAGATGGTGAACTGACAACGGAACTTGACAGTTCTCAAAGTGATGCTGAGCCTTTCTCCATGAGATACTCATGAGTAAGACGTGTGTGTCCAATATATAGGCAGGAAAGTGTAGTCTCCCAAAGAAGATGTTTGACAGAATGCAATTTATTATGGACCAATTCAGACCACCGTTGTTGCCAACAGTTTCAAAAGTTCTTTAGAGATTACTGCAAAATAGTATGAGAATAGAATACTCCTATGGGAAATAAGGTCATGAACGGCTGATGGCTCAGCAGACCTGCTTGTTGCCTCGAACATCTACATGCCCACGAACCCAGCAGAAAACGATATTTTTGTGTTTACTAGAAATGTGGTGCAACCAAAGTTGTACACGAAGAACTATGGAATGAGAAGAGGCAGATTGTTAGATAACCTGTAATGCACTGAAGGAGTCTGTACTATGTACTAGGAACGTTGAGGTTGGCAGAAATGCAGTTCGTAAAACAGCCATAAGAATTACTTTTCAACTCAGCTGTGAAAATGACCTCATATAAAATTGATGTTTTAAAGTGCAGTACTATATCTAGCTTGATAATGTGACATTGTGTATTATGGCAGCTAGCAATACTTTTAACTCATAATGGATACTTCGAGCTGGAATTGAAGCAATTAATGTTTTTTGCAGTAGTATTTGAGTATCCATCTTTGGTTCTGTAGTTTCTTCACATGATTTACACAATGTCCAATCACAGACCATTGTTGATTTCACAGAATACGGTACCCAGCTGTACATAAAAAGATATATATTTTTTTACACGTAGTAAGATTTTCAAGAATTGATACTATTCTAAAGAGAGAGAAATTCCATGTAATATACACATGAACGATACTTAAGGGCATAGTCTCAAAACTACACACTGCCATAACAACGTAGTGGAGTGAGTGACATGGGAAGAAGTATAAAAATAGACATTGAAAATCAGGAGCACCATGAGCACAGTAAAGAAACACTGTGTCAATATCCATAGTACAAGACTATTCAACCTGCTGCCTTCAGATATCAGAAACAGTGCCCAGACATGAATAGATTTTTTTATTAGGAAATTGGATCACCACCTTTGCCAACTGCCATGTCAAATAAACTGTATTATTAGATCAAAGATATACAATACCAGTAAGGTTAAAAGACACATTTGCAACATCTGGGTATCTTTATCTAATAAACTTTTCACCTGGTAAGCAAAACATTTTTCAAAGATACTCAAATGTAAAAATATCTTAGCCGTCACAGCCGGGTTGATGAATATGTGCAAACAGGCCTGACTGTAGGCTGGGCTGTTAGGGTAGAAAAAAGACCTCAAAACCATTCACAGGTATATCACAGGTTTATGTAAATTACACAGACTCCCATAGTATCCTCAGTTATACTGTATACTATATTTTTTTTCAGTCGATTGGTTGATGCTTTGCAAGAGCGTGGAGTAGATGTTTACCTTGTATCTGGCGGATTCCGGTCTCTTATTGCACCAGTAGCGAAGATGCTTAATATTCCATTGGAAAATATCTTTGCGAATCGACTTAAATTCTATTTTGATGGTAAGTGTATACATGAATTTTGAATTCATATTTTGACCTAAGCTACTTTTTTATATTTATTTTTTCTTCTTTTAAATGTTTTTTTCTTTTGTTGCTGATTATTTTTTTCTAATGCTTTAGCTGTAGTATATGTGATGAAAAGAAGTTCAAAATAGAATATTGCAGTATGTATTATTTTCAGTTACAATACTATAATGTGCATTGTCTGCATTAAGAAGATTGATTTGTTTTACACTTACTGCTACTGTATATTTATAAGGAAAGCTTCAAACAAGCAAGTAGAAATCATGTGCTCATTACAGAGGTCAAGGTAAATTGTACACCGAGTGATAAAATAAACTGAGCCATCTTGGATTATATACTGTGGGATGAATTGTCTTATACAATACTCTGAGTTAGGAAAAACCTGCAAGGCAATAATCAGAAGTGGTAGTCAGGATTAGCTATTGTGAGAACATTATTACCCAGAGTTGATTGAGAAGAATATTATTTTGTGGGAAGTCATAGTAGATGGCTGCTCTGAGCTGTTGTATTGTGGGGCTGCCTAGACGAGAACATAAATGTTACAGGATTTTGTCAACTGGAAATGATACGACAGCAGTTGCCGAGTGGACATAGCATGAGAATGTTTTAAACATTGAGTGGATTTTTTTCCCATGAAATAACTTAAGAATGAACAGCTTCATCATATAAAAGCTGATGTATCTGACTGAAAAGTCTTATAGTTGTAAGCTAAGTTCAAAGATGGTATTATTCTAACATGGCTACTAAAACCGGGATTTTGGTTTCCATTTGATAAGTGGAGAATGCCTTTTCTGATTGACTTAAACTTTTGGCGATGATGGTGTGGGATTTTGCATACAAACAAGCAAGTCTTATTATAATAAGTGAACTGTACGGGACTTAGCATGATGACGTTTCCACATTCTTCAGCCGCAACCAGAATGTTATTGGAGCCTTCGATGTAACCACACTTGGGTGTAATCAAGACTAATGGTAAGTATAATTAACCCTAGGGGGTGTTGTCAGTACAGTGGACCCCCATTTAACGATATTTTTTCATTCCAGAAGTATGTTCAGTGCCAGTACTGACCGAATTTGTTCCCATAAGGAATATTGTGAAGTAGATTAGTCCATTTCAGACCCCCAAACATACACGTACGAACGCACTTACATAAATACACTTACATAATTGGTCGCATTGGGAGGTGATCGTTAAGCGGGGGTCCACTGTATTTCAATAACTGAATACTGACGAGAATCTTCACTCGTGTTGGGCTAAAAAGCCCACCCATAACCGAGTGTGCAGTAAGTCTTGAGAAAAATGAACTAGCTATCTGCTGCACAGCTGATCTAACTAGTAACATTTACGACTAGACCTACCTGGGTGTCTGTATCGGACCCATATTTGACTCAGATATAGGTGTCTTGATTGAAGCAGACGTGTTCTTTGAAGAATGATGCACTACACTCCTCAGGAAATTCACAGCATTCGTTGTTACACACTGCTCATCAAGTATTGTTTATTATTCACAGTCATATCACTAAAGAAGCTGTTATCACTTCTCTGTAAGTGTTCTGCTGTGTCATTTGAGATTCTTCTATGCACAAAAATGCATGATCACTGTAGTCTTTCTTATTACAGTGTGACACATGAGTTGCTTCGATGAAGCCTGAAAGGAATCTACTCCACAGCACCCCATGCTGGCCTGACTTGCCCTCATATAAAGGATTCACTGATACAAGATGATTTGCCTTCCTTTCCAAACTTCCTCCATGAAGCAATGCAAAATACTTGATTCTTGTTGTCTAGTCATAGACAACAATGTACACTATCTTTTACATGGTAATAAAGTGGGTGCAGGATTTTCTTTAATTGCCCTGCTATGGCAAGAGATTGATTGTCTCTCATTAAACAACACTATTTACAACACTGGTCTGTTGCAAAGAGTTGCACGACCTATGATTGGTACACCCTGGTTAAACATCTGTTTGTAATTACTTGATATGGAAATAAACAAGATGCTTGCCCCTTCTGAGAGGGCTGGGCCCCCAGGGCTGAAAAGGACTGAAGGGGGCTAATACCCCCCTCCTGGAGAAAATTTTTCCAAAGATGAAATTCACATAAAGTAAGCTTCACATGGTTATTGGGCTCTCTTTGTTTTAATTTCCCATTTTATAAAACAAACTTCTGTACAAGCAATAACTGGAGAGTGCCTCTTTTAATAGGCTTCAAACCTTAAATACTGATACATTTATTGAACCAAAGTAGGAGACATTGAATTAATTTTATTGAAGAAATTGGGAGGTCATGGTAAACTGATGCTTTGGTATTACTGTCCTTTGAGCCCTGTCTGGTTCAGATTGTCATGAGTCCTTCACAGACAGGAGACCTTCGACTTACAAGCAAGTTGTGTTCCTGGTGTTTCAACTTGCATACAAATTTGTAAAAAAACAAAAAACAGTAGTATAAAAACTGCAGATCTGCAGTTAAAATGTAATTCAATTCAATTCAGTTCAATTCACGTTTATTCTCTATAAGGGTTACAATGTGGGGTTTACAGGTTTTGGGTATTGTGTGGTTTACATGTTATAAAATACTAATTACAGAGGGGGCCACTAGGACACCTAGCATGGCTAGGCATTTCGGGCAGACTTAGATTAATTTGTAACATTAAATCCTTAAAGATTATGGTATTAAGGCTAAGTGACTACATCATAATTTGTGAGTTTAGCAATGTGAATGCTTTTGTTTTGGCACAATACAAAGTGTCTATATTGGAGTATCATAGGCAAACTTAGACTAGTTAGGATTTATTATTTTAAGATTAAGATTAGTATTTCTGGGTTTTAGTCAGGGGGTGATTTGAGTTTAATTGTGAACCCCCCAGGTGGTTATCATGTAGTTATTTTGTTGGGTGTATCAGGGGGGAAAAGTTGTTTTCTAACTGTAGTTTTGAAAGTGATGAATGTGCCCCTGCAGTTCTAGAGTTTTCAGGTAGGGTGTTCCAGATTTTAGGTCCTTTGGAATACATTGAATTTTTATAAAGGTTTAGTCAAACACTGGGAATGTCATAGAGATGTTTGTGTCTGGTGATGTGCCTGTGGATCCTGTCACAACTATCAAGAAAGCATTTTGGTCAAGGTTAATATTGAAATTTAAGGTCCTGTAGATATAGATTGCACAGTAGTAAGTGTGGATGTTCTGAACAGGGAGTAAGTTTAGATCTATCTATGAAGAGTGGGGGGTTGTGTTGCTAGGGATGGGATTTAGTGATTATTCTTACTGTGGCTTTTTGTTGGGTTATTATTATCTTTAGGTGTGTTGCTGCAGTTGAACCCCAAGCACAGATAGCATAGGTGAGGTATGGATATATAAGTGAATGTATAGTGTGAGAAGGGCAGTTTGTGGCACATAGTATCATATTTTGGAGAGGATCCCCACCATTTTGGATACTTTTTTTTGTTATGTGTTGGATATGGGTGCAGAAAATTAGGTTGTTGTCAAGGTATAGGCCAAGGAATTTGCCCTCATATGTCTTGCAATTAGAGTGTTGCGTCTTAATGTTAATTTTGTGCAACCCCAGCTCTGCTACCAAACAAAATATAGTAGGTTTTGCCAGTGTTAAGTGTAAGTTTATTGGCTGTTATCCAAGTCGATATTTTGGGGCAGCTCCTCGTGAACATTTGGGGTTGAGGGTGGCAAAAATTAGGGTGGGAGATGACATAAGTCGTGTCATCAGCAAAGAGAATGGGTTTCAGGTGTTGGGGTATGTTTGGAAGATCATTGAGGTAAATGAGGAAGAGCAGGGGTCCAAGGACACTTCCTGCGGAACTCCAGTATCAAGTGGCCGTATTGATGAGGCTGTGTCTTTAATGGTGACATACTGATACCTATTAGAAAGGTAGGATTTAAAATATGCAAGTGCATGGCCTCTTATACCATAGTGGTCAACTTTGTGGAGTAGGAGCCATGGTCTACTGTGTCAAACGCTTTTCTTAGGTCATAAAAATTCCTAGCGGATATTCCTTATTTCCATGCTGTGTAAAGCAGGTCTAGCATTTTTATAATTGCATCATTAGTTTCTTTTATTTTTCCTGAATCCAAATTGGCAGGGGTTGAGTATTTTTGTGACATTATAAATGAATTTTAGTCTCCTGTGCACGAAATTTCTCGAAGATTTTGAATAGCAATGGTGATTTGATAATGGCCTATAGTTGTTTACATCTGTAGGGTCACCACCTTTATGTATTGGTGAACCCTTGCTGTCTTGAGTAGTGTTGGGAAAGTGCTAGTTTCTAGTGACTTGTTAAAAAGTAATGTAATAGCATGCGAAAGGACATGGGCCCTCGCCTTGTACAATAATGGGGGATGCGAGAAGATTCCCCCAGTTATTTTTAAGTGACTTTATGATCGCGGTGACTTCCGTGGGCTCATTGGTACAAGATAGAAGGAATTTGGGAAATTCCCATCTAGGTAGTCCCCGGCACGGGCGTTGGTACGTGGGATTTTACTGGCGAGATTAGATCCTATGTTTGAGAAGAAGTCGTTATCTTGTTAGCTGTATCAGTGGGAAGCAGTGGTGGGGTTTTATGAGGTTTAGTTAGAACAATATTCTTGTTTTTTTTTTGTTTGTGGGTCCCCAGAATCTGGGAAAGTGTTTTTCCCGGTCTTTTTTGTATCTCCTCTTGTTCAGTGAATCTGCTGGAGTAAATTAGTTGTTTTACTTTCTTTATTAATTTGGTGAGAAAACTGTTGAATATTTTTTAAGGGAAAATCTTTGTGTATTAAGCCCTGTCTATATTATTTTTCATATTGGTGTTTCTCATCAGTGGATTTCAGAATGCTGCTTGTTAGCCATGGGCAACCAAGCGTTATTTTCGTGATCTGTTTCGTTTTTTTAGGACAATGTTTGTTTATAGTCTAAGTATTTTGTTAAGGAAAATGTCTGTCCAATCGTCATACCATTGGCATTGGGAATTCTGTAGGCCAGTCAACAGTCTCTAGGTCTGCTGTGAAATTTCCTTATTTGGCCTTGTCATGGAGTCTAAATGAAACTTTGTTGTATTCGAGTGGTGGCTTACTAATGTTTGTTAAGAGGAAGGTTGGGTAGTGGTCAGTACTGCTGTCTCTGATTATTCCTGATTTAAGGGGGGCTAGTATAAAGGTCCATATTGGCCTATTATGGTTGCACTTGTCTCAGTCAACCTGGTTGGTTTAGTTTTGGTGGTATGAGAAGTGTGTTGTTCATATTGTTGATGAAATCAGTTACCCGTCTGATCATCCCGGTAGGCCAAGGTTGATATTGAAGTCTCCAGCTAAGAGAAGGTGGTGCTTGTTCATTTGTCTGTTTGTTATTAGTGACTTTAGATTCTCACTGAAGTTTGGGAGTTTTGTGGGGTATCCGGTATATGGCACTGATTGTTATAGGCATCTTGAGGTTTTTTACAGTAAAATTAGCAAAAATGTATTCCCCCTATTCAACAGTAAAGCAATTAGTGCTAATTTCAAGATAGTTGGTTAGAGTAATAGATTTTCAGTACCACCCCCAACTTGGTATGGTCTGCAGTTGTTTGGGTTGCGTGTATCCTGGTAGTGGGTTTTTTTGATATCTATTGTGTCCTGCTTAAGCAGGTCCCCGGTAAGAATAATGCAGGAGAAGGGTTGTTTTGTGATAAAGGGGGCCCGGGATCATTTTTGTGTTTGTTAGGATGAGTTGTAGTAAAATTTTACTTTAGGTTAATAGTGTGGTTTTATCTGTTTATGGCAGTTTTTTTCGAAATTTTTGGTGGGGTGTTGATTATATTTTAAGATTGGGTAAATAAAATATTCATTTTTTTTTAAAAAAAATTGTTTGTTTATTTTCCTGTTTTAGTCTGTTCTAATACTATTTCGGTGGGGGGGTTTGTTTTGTTAGTTTAAAGAATTTGGTCATATAGAGTATAGTATAATAAAATTTAAAATTAATGTTATGTGTTGCGCTGAATAGTTTAAAAAACAGGTTAAAACTTTTTAATAAAAAAAATTAAATGGACCAGAATTTGTAATTGCATAAGGTTATATAATGAATTTAGTGTTGTCAGTATTAGTTTAAATGAGCGGGGTTTTAAACTTTTAAAAAAATTACTTTAAAAAATGGTATTGCTTGGGACTAGGGCGGGGTTAATTTGGGGAAAAGGGGGGTATTGATTTTGAAAAAAATAAAATTAAAAATTTAAGTAAAAGGGAATAATAAGTAAAAATAACATGAAAATTTTAAAGGGGAATTTTGTTGCAGGAAAGGCAAAGATATAAAAGTTATTTGAAATGTTGGGAATTTGGCAACAAATTTATGAAAAGTTTAAAATAATGTCTCATAAACACGCTAAGATAACAGGGATATCTTGCTACTCCTACTTCCCTTTTGGGGTCACACTTCACGGGACACGCCTGCATAAAATTTTATAAATCTCTGGGTTTTTTTTTTTCCTTTTTTCAAAAAAGCTTTTTTTCTTTTTTATTTTTTTTTTGTCCTGGGGAAGGGGGAAAAGATTTTTCCTCGAAAGCCTCGTGTGTTTGGGGGGGACAAAAGCCGGGAGAAAGGGCTAGAAACCCCCTTCTCTGTTACAATTACTAAAAAAGAGAAGAGGAAAAATTTTTATAAAATGGGTTGCTTAAATGTGGGGATGTAGTGGGTGACAAAAAAACAGATGTTGCTGATGTTATGAATGAAAAGAAGTTGGATGCCCGGCCCTAAGCGAAACAAAGCTAAAGGGGGGTGGGAGAGTTTCAGTGGGGGGAAATAAAGGGGATTAAATTGGAGTTCTGAGAGAGTTAGAGAAAAGGAAAGGGGTAGCAGTAATGTTAAATGATCGTTATGGAGGAGAAAAAGG